CAATCCTATGCTTACTAAACAAAGAAAACTACTATAATTTGAATAATGAAAGAAAATTACGAAGTATCTAGAGAATTGATGACACCTAAAATATACATGTTTCACCAATACATTTATATCCTAAAATGACCTAAATTGTACTAAGTTCGTTTGATTTTCCATTTTACGCTTGGTTTTGTGTATTTTGATGTTTCAGGCACATGTTGTAGAAAAATGGATCAACTTGTCTCAAAGCATGATTGAAAAGATAAATGACGAATGGACGTTGTAAAGGAAGGACGCATATACACATGAATATATTCGACTAAATGAGGAATTTCGTTGGGCATGAAATGAAAGGTTAAGTATGCATGTAATTCATGCACAAAAGGAAGCACGTAGGTCATCTCGTGGCCAAGCCGGTGGAGCTAGCAGCTGTCCAACTGAATGAATGACAATTTGCGGCCAAAGTTCAAGCTAGTTGGTCCAGTAATAGAAGATAGCTAGTCCATTACTTGGGAAGCAGGCTGGTCCATATGTAGAAGCAAGCATGTCAATTATTTGGGAAGCAAGCAGCTGCATTGACGTCTCCTAAGCAAGCAGATTCTCCTCCCTTGCCTTCATCGATCGATCATAGAGAAGCAAGTAGCAAGCATTTAAGGCAAGCTGCTGAAGATAGCTGGTCTCCAAGTGGGAATTATTCCACGCAATATGAACTGGAAATGAATTGGAATTAGAAGCTTATTACAACAAGCTGCTCTCGGCCACGTCCCACAAGCATTGAGTTCAAGCAAGTAGTTAATGTGTGGGCTCTCGGGAATTAAATGAAAAGCAAGCTGTTGGCCATCATCTCTCGACCATGAATGAGAGCAAGTAGCGAGAGCAAGTAGTTGAAGATACCAAAATTGCACTATAAATAGAGGGAGAGGGTGATGTTGCGAAGGGCACCCTACTTCTATGCTTTGTTCTTCCTTTTTTGTATTTTGGAGTTAGCCGAAACTCTGTCCATTTTTCATTCCAAACTCTTTTTTCTTCTTTCCACTTCGTTAATCATATCTCGTATTTCATCCATCGTGGTTCTCATGTTCGTGTTCGTATTTGGGAATACCGTGGTATATTGCGTTATTGAGATTACTGAAGTAAGCTTCTGTTCTGTTGGGTTTTGATAATAATTTGTGGTGGTAGATTGGTCGGTTTCCACCGTCTTCGCCCAACGATTATTCCTCCGTCGGAAGTTTGCTAGGTGTAGTCTATTAACTCAATATACATACTGTATTCTCAACCCCTCCGTCTTCGTCGTCGTCATCATCATGGTAATGTTCTCAACCTTCATCTTTCTAAATCTCATCGTGTCCGGCTAATCTTCTAGTTGTTCCGAATTCGATGAACCCTAATATGTTTTACATGAATTGAGTGGTATCTTTGATATAGACGTGTTGTTCTCGTTCTTACGATCTTTTCTCGACTTATCATGTGCAAGTATCAATAGTACACGTCTATTGTGTATTTTGTCTGATACATGTAAATGAGACTGCGATGCAATTTTGCATGTTAGATCCCTCGTGAAAAGAAGGAATTGATCGAAGCCACCGGCGATGGGGTCAAGTAGTTACTCTGGATTAGCTTAAAATCTAATACGGAAATTGACAAGTCAGGTTAATTAATGCTTTGGTTTAAGAGACTTGTAAGCCACGGTTTCACTTGATTCTTGAATCGGAAGGGTGTTAATACATGTGCAAATGCGTTAACACTAAATTGGGAATTTTCATGGTCTAAGATATGAACACTCGTATATGTTAATTTCAACTCGTTGGTAAAATGCATATTAGGGGGATTCACTTCTGGGACAACGCCTTCTCCACTTGATTTTACTTTGAAAACTACTTAATTGTGTTTTTATTATTGCGTGTGTTTTTATTTCTAAACGAAAATCAACTAAAAACGATTGGCAGATAATAGGTAAAAGCTGAGAACTAGTTCACGAAGTCTCTGTGGATACGACCTTGCTTCCTGCTATATTACCTTAGAACGATAGGTACCCTTGCCTATATTTCCTGTGTTAGTTACGGGCGATCAAGAATCCTCCTCAAGCTCGGCTTCCAACTTGATTGCTTTCTGCCTAAGTAGCTAACTTTCTGCGCAAGTAACAAAACAACCCTCCATAGCAACATCAGGCTCTTCGTTTGAAGGCCTCCAAGTTCTGGGAGTCCAAACAATTCCATTACGTTCTTCAGCAAGACATGTACTTTCATTTCCAACTCCAGCTGCTCTTGGATGTCCCTCAAATGGCTCGAATAAGCTCCCGTATTTGGTATCTCAACATTGTTTCCAGATTTAGCCATTTTCAGCAACTCCATTGAACATGATTTGCCTTGTTTTCTAAGATTTATTTGGAATGGATTTAGTTCACTTCCTAGCATTGCATCAGTCCCTCCTGTTTAAAAACTTTGCCCTCAAAACTTCTATGTGTCTGCAAGGGAAATCAGCACAAAAATTGCTCCAAAAAGGATCTACATAAGAAACCTTGAGCTCTTCCCATGTTGTCAAAATTCCAGTTTCCTTGCACTAGTTGATCCACTCTGGGCTTAATTCTTCAAGAATTGAGGCTTTCCTCTCATTTTTAAGTATTTATTAACCTATATTGATGATGTACTTCATCGGGACACACTTTATAAAATTCCAAGAAAATCCACAGGTTAGGACAAACACCACATGGGCCTGCAAATTTGGGACTTTGGTATTTAAGCATTTAGACTTCAATTCGGGGAACAAATCATCTTCACCTGATTTCCAATTGAAGTTTCCCACCAACCATGAGCCTTGAATCAACCTTGTGAGTGTCAATTAATCGATTCTCTTTTCCCGCCATCGTCAAATTCATTTTTTTCCGAATTGAGGCCGCTTCAAACTAGTTTCTGTTATGCTACACCTTCCATGATCATCTAGTAATTGAGCCACCTCGTTGTTTTGGCTGAATTCTTGCCCAATCTCCCGACGAGATACGCAATTTTGAGTAATCTCTGCATTTTCATAAGTGATCTTGCCAGATTGGGCATTTTTCTTTGAAGTTTCTTTGACCCATTCTTGTTAGGGAAATCATTCCTGGAGTAACTAGAAATGTGTGTGCAGCATTGGATTGGATTGAATCATCTCTAGTCATCATGACGAGTTCGTCCGACATCGAACTCTGTTCCACAAAAGAAAAACACAGTCATTGAACTCTGGAGGTTCGTGGCGCTTTCCTTTCAGGCTTGTGAGCATAAAATTGGCCTTGCTGTTTTTCACCAACTTCGAACCGCTCGATTCATCCTTCTTCTAGGCTCTACTCAGCTCCAATTACCTTTTATCTTCTTGGACATGAGCTGGAGGTAAAGGTTTGAGCATAAATTTATGACATCCATGCCTAACTTTGTAGAAATTACTTCGGCCCTCATGAATTACTCCCCGATCAAACTGTCATGGACATCCTAATAAAAGATGAGCTGCTTGCATCGGTGCCACATCATAGAGAAGTTCATCCTTGTATTCGCAAATTTCAAAACAAACATTGGCATTCTTAGTCACTTTGACAGCACAATAATCATTCAACCAATGAATATTATAATGTTGATGATGTTTGATTTTACTTAGTCCCAGCTTCTTGACGGTGTACAGGCCAACAACATTTGTGCAACTACTTCCATTGATTACTCGTGCAACGGGTGTGAAACAAATTTTCATGTTGTTCTTCTTCATTCGGATCTTCAATGGCAAGTGTCTGTCGATTTACACCCAGAAATTTATCCGTTGAAGGGGCTTTCGCCATTATGTGGTGATCGACTTCATTATCAGAGTCATCATAATCAATTCCAGCCCCAATTGGCTTCTCTTGTTCTTCTTAAGAGAAGTATTCATCGTCTCATAAGACCAGGGCCTTCTTATTGGAGCATTGATTCGCTTTGTGACCTCGGCCTAAGCACTTAAACCATTGAATGCTTCCTGTGGAGCCTTCAGGTCGCTCTTGAGCTACTGGAGTAATGTTCCTAGTGGTGGATGGGGCCATTTCCTACTTGGTAAGCTGGTCATTGGCCTCGACAGCAGGCCCAAGAGTACTTTCGACTACTTTTCCACCTTGACTACTAGGTGAACCACCTAATCTAAGTCCACAAATTTTCGAAGCTCCACTTCATGCGTAATGTCTTGGTTAAGCCGAAAGAGAAAAGCCCCCTTGTCTTCCCTTACATCAAGCCTCATCACGAGCAATTCGAGCTCTTTAAAATAATCATCGACATACCTGGAACCTTGACAAATACCTTGTAGTGAGTCATACAATTCTCGTTGATAATATCTAGGTACAAACATGTCCCTCATAGGCTCCTTAGTTCATCCCAATTGGCCACTAGAAGCTGCAGGTTCCTTATCCTTCGCATCAGTATTTACTCCCACCACGTTGCAGTGTAGTCCGTGAATTCGTAATTAGCAAGTAAAACCTTCTGCTGCTCGCTATAATTACCACACTAGAACAAAAAAATGATCTTCCTCTCCCAATCCAAGTATGTAGAGGCATTGCCAACACTTGGAAACGATGGAATCGTCAGCTTGACTCCTCGTAACTCTGCACTGGTATATTCCCTATTTTGGGTGGCCTCCCATCATGATCACGAAATTCATGATGTCAATCACATTGATCATACTAGGTGGTGTTCAACCTTCTCACTAGGTTTTGAATGATCTCGTCGAGGCCTTGATTGGCACCAAGTGGAGTGCCTAGATCTCGATTCTCTATTGAGTCAGATTGTGCCCTACCAAATTTCCGTGCTGGGTAGAGTTGTTCGTCGACGGCGAAATAACATCCAAAAATTTGTTTATCTGGTCCAAATGCGCCTAGAACACCATGTTAGATGGGAAGTTAGTGTCCGAAGAAGCTCGGTCATGTGTACCTGTAACATCCCGACCTTTGGATTCAGGTTCGACCAAAATACGGGAAATGTTGGGTTAACGGTTACAAAGTATATATATAAAGAGGTAAGGAGCCGCTTGGCCCCCCTCCCCCCCCCCCCCCACCCCAAATTTAGATGAGCCGCTGCAGTCGTGAAAGAAGAAGGAAACAAATAAATAAAATAAAGGCGAAGCAAGCGATGAGGAGGTTCACGCCCATGAGTAGGAGAGGAAGAGCCGTGACAGGTGGAGGCGGGAGAAAAACCGGGAATACGACAGTGGCAATCACGGCAGTTGGTTGTAATGCGATGGACAGGCCACGACTCTATCCTTCTAGACGACCCAAGGTGTCAGTATTTCTAAGTTGGCCGCCAAATTGTGGTCGAAGGAGGGACCTCGGAGATAATGGCGGCGGAGCTCCAACGGTGGGGATCATCGAAGAGAAAGAGGTGGAACCGGTAGAGGAGGAGCCGAAGGAGGAAAATCATTCGAAGCTGGAGCGTGAGAATGCAGACATTGACGCGACTAAATAGGTGAGTGTAAAGGGCTTAAAATCTCCGTCGAGGTCTTTTAGCTTATGCATTTACTTATAGCAGTTTGTTAATTTTTTAGTAATGCTCGATTATGTGTGTGAGGTATCCCATCGCCTTCTGAAGGTGGAGACACGCAATGTGCTATGTATGAATGAATGAATGTATGTGTGTTTGTAATGTATGGTTGATGGTAAGATGAACTCACAAGGGGTTGGGCCACTACTGGATGCGGTAGATGGTCGGATCACTGCTGAATGGTGAAACGTAACGCAACAGCTGATCGAGTATGTTGGGGTCACTACTGGACGGTGAGACATAACGCATTAGTTGATCGGGCATGGACTGGACGGCGAGACATAACGCAGTGCCATTGCCAAGTTCGGGTATGCAACAGGACGGCGAGACGTAACACATTAGTTGACCGGGCTTGGACTGGACGACGAGAAGTAACGCAGTGCCATTGCCGATTTTGGGTATGCAGTCGGACGGCTAGACGTAACACGGTTGGCATACCAGGATAGGGATACCAGACTGTGATACGTAATGTGGTGGACCCTAGTTTTAATTGTATAAGTTAAGATAGAAGTATAGAACTTCTATAAGCTATTAAGGAATGACTATTTAAGGATAGAAAGCAAGAATAACTTTCGTTCTAGGAAGGATTTTATAATTATGTGTTAGTGAGGATTTGCCTAGGGAAAAAACCTTAAGAAGTAACGATGAGAATAACCCCTTCTCACTCACCTGGTTGAGGAAGGGTATGCGGTGGTAGATTCTGAGAAGAGGAAGAGCGAGACGAGTAGCCACACCAACATTTGACGGGGTTCCCAGAAGCTCAGCAAGGAGCTAGAGTTAGAGTTAGTTTCATTTTTTTTTTGTTCATGATTATGAGTATATAAACTGGATATTCGAGATTCAGAGTTTGAGTGGTCTTGTGGACCATGGATTGAAGTCGCCCAACTGTCTAGGACATTTCATTTGAATTTCTTTTGGAAAAGATTCTGTTGTAATTGTTTTTATTGAAGTTTTTGAACATTATTTGGGTTGGCACCGGAGCCATGAGTATTTCACGTTTAATTAAAAGGATGGGGACGTTTCATTTTGGTATCAAAGCCGACACTCCTCTATTCCTTGGTCTCCAAGGAATACTGGAGTGACGATCTGAGCTTTTTCATGGTTTCTGTTTTTAAAGGAAAGGAAAAAGGGGTGTCAGGTTGGAGGTTTGGCCAAACGAGTCAGTGTTTCTTTGATGATTTTTAGAATCTCCAGAATACTCTAATCATGATAAGGAAATAACTCTAGGAGGCCTCGAGGGACTGTTATATGTCTTGGGAAGGAGAGGAGCAGATTACTAATAGGATAGTTTAGTGAACTCTTTTTCATGATCGAGAAGAGGTAGTCCAAGGGAACTCATACCCTACGTGGATGCGAGTTGATCGGTATAAGGTTCAGAAAGATGTTAAGTACCTAAGACGTAGAAAGACAATAAGGAATGAGTTACAGCAAGTGGTGGCCATCATCAAGAGGAAAGGATGCATGGATGGTTCATTAAGTTCACGAGAATCGAACTTAGGGATACGATCCCAAGGAGTAGTGGAAAGTTAGACTTTAAGCAACGCTAGGGACACCTAAGCAAAGCAAAGGAGGAACTAAGTAGGTCATAGAGAGCCTGACAAGATTTCATGGGATCAATACGCCAAGGCTAGGAGGAGTCACGTTCATGTACATAGATCAAATGAGGAATCCCTTATGGATACAGTACATCCCAAAGGAGACAACTAGCGAGATCAGTGGAAATTCCTTTAAAAGAAGGAGACAACTAGCGAGATAAACAATGTAACGAATGAGGTTAGAGCAAGCAGACTATGTTACCAATAAAGTGCAAGATTGAGGATAGGAATGCGAGGGATTCCTACCGCATGGTGATGGGATCCACAGTCTCCACTACCCAAGTTTAGATAAGTCACCGGATGGTGCTACATTTCATGGTAGTCAAGACTCAAGTGGAGGGGCACCCTATTGTGAGGGGTAGCCAGGGGTAGAGGGGTGCTAACTAAAAAGAGTTAATAGGAGGGATTCGAGACCCTACCAGTTATAGCCGTCAAGGGAGACCAATAAATCCAAGGGAGACAAGGAGCATTGTCTAACTAAGGTAGGTTAAAATTGGTAATCTCAAAATTTGCCTAAAAAAAGACATCAAGCCATTCTCAGACAGACAAGAGCGTGGAACGCTCGGAGGAAGAGACATTAGTGACCTTGGAAAGGGTAGGAAGGACGGAACGACATGTAAATCCCTAGACCATGAGTGGAATGAAGGTAAGTAAATCAAACTCAAGAAAACAAACAAAATAATACGAGGAGGAAATCATTCCCAAGCTGAGGAGCGCGAAAACTTATCTTAATCAATGTACTCCACTTTGGGTGAGTACAACATGGTGGGATGTCATCGGGAGGGGGAAACGAGTTAAGGATAAATAACGGTCATTCAGAGGAAACGACTAGTTAAGGAGGAACCATATTCAGTTAGTGAAGCCACTGCCAACCCTGATTAAGAGATCAATGCCATGTACGAGCATTGATCAAAGAAAATGATTTGAATGAAGTATTTTAAAGCCTAACAAGAGAAAGCCACTGTTGGAAGTTTTGACCCTAAAAAACAACGAGATAATACCCAACGGGGTCGGTAACCAAAGATAGTACAAAACATCAACAGAAGGGTATTAAAATTAAAGACGTAAGGAGAACAAATCTTACTTTATTCCTGAAAGGAGGGAAGTAAGAGTGAAGGAAGGCACGTCTCACGATCTACCCAGTTTCAAAATCTCTTCCTCCACCTCCAATTTTGTCTGCGGCTGCGGCCTTTCCGACGTCCACGACCCTACCTCCTCCGCCACCTCAAAATCACCCATCTCCAGAACCACCATCGCCGTACACTTTGCATCGGCTTTGGAAGTTCCTCTCTTTCCTCTTCCCTCATACTCTCTGTTATTTCTTTCATATTGACTTTATTGGTTGTTCGATCTTATTAATTTTTATCTTGTCTTGTTCCATGCTTCTCTAATCCTTTCTTTGGTATGTTCCGTGTTGTAGATTTCCTTGATTTTTAGTTATATTTTGTAGAATTACTTATTACCATGTTCAGTCTGTCTCCTAATTCTTTTACATTATGCTTTTTTGCAGTTCTTTTCCTTTTCTTTTTTGATGTGCTTCTCTGTTTTTTTTTTCTTGGATTCAGGCTTTCTGCTCCATCACTTTGAATCCCACGGTTCCTCCTTTCCGCTTCAATCTCCTTGTCGGCGCAGTAAGAGTAAAGGACCAAAGGTGTTTTAAGGATGAGATGTGGCCTTCTTTCTCATCCTTATCCTCATCTAAAGTAGATGCGGTGGGAGGAGCCATGATTGTTTTTTTCCATGCCTTTCTTGTTGTCCAAATGTCCGGTGGTGGGAATTTGTGACTAATAGCACCGAGGGCAGCTGTCTCCTATAGGAATAAGGACTTTGGTAGCATGCCCCATACGTGGCAAGAAATAACTCAAATAAGTAGGGTCGCTGTAGCGGTGGGTATGAGCGTTGGTAGCCAATTGATCGGACGTGGATAAGGACTTTTTGGTTGCGTTGGCCTTCAGTTACTGGTGGTGACTCATGAGTGGATGAGGCTTTTTGGCCCATGCTGAAGTTCATAACCTTTTATCGATTTGGGTTACTCTACTATATGGGCCTAGCCTGGGCTTTGTGTCAATTTTGTTTTGCAGGAAAAGACTTTCTGCTTCAGGAGAAGTAATGAACTGTGCTCAAGCATTTGGCTGGGTGACTCTTCCTCTCAGGACGACAAGGATTTGCTTCGCTGCTTCAGCCTAGCATGGATGGTTCCATGATTTTTTACTTTTACAGCAAGAGTAAAGGATATTGTCCATGCTGTATAGGTATTAAAGAGATGCCCGTTGCGTGGCGTAAAAGGCTCTCTTATCGATGGTTCGGCTAATATTCGATCGTCGTCCCTTTCTCTTTTTTGTATTGTTATGGTTGCCTGAAAAGGCATCCAATTCATATCTAGTTGCTCCCTTATGGGAATATCTTTGACAAAAGAAAAGACGCAAGGAGAACAACATAAGACGTTATAGAAAAATGGTGGTCATTGACTGGGTAATGCATGCATAAAGGAAAATAGTTAGGAAGGATCGAAGCAGGAATATGAAAGACATCAATGAGACATTAGGTTGACTGCCAACATAAACAAACTTATACATAGAAAGTTCACCTAGAAATTTGAAACTCATCGGTCAATTTTGAGTAGAATCAAGGTTATCGCGAATAGTCAAAGGGAGAACCTTATGGGACAAAGTACATAAGCGGGAAAAGCATATAAGGCCTTAAACAACTATACTAAGGGAAATAGTTTCCCAAAGAACCAAGGACAATTGTAGTGAGCCGGTGAGTCGGGAAACAGTGTGATACAAGTAACATCGGCTGGACCGTGCAGACAGAGATACTTGTCGGACAAGAGAAGCCAGAGACTTTAAATAAGCAGACCTACAGTCGGATTAGCCTAGTCCAAATGGGCGCTATTGAGGCTAGAGCTGGAGGAATCAAAAAGTGACCGTAGAATGATATTCAAGCCTCTTTGACAACGAAGTTACCAAGGATGGAGAGATCAAGACCTCGCTAGCATAGGGAGCAAGATGTCCTTACGAAGTCATAGAGGGCAATATGATTGCTTCGAGTAAGATGCAATGAACTATCGGGGGAAAACATAAGCTCGCGTGGACAGATTTGATCAAGATTAAGGAATTGGAGATTTAAAGAACATAAATGGGTAGGTGGTGGTAGGATGATTAATTTCCTGAATGGGAAGGTGGTGACTAGAAGTCGATACCATGGCGAGAGGAGTCATGAAGTTGATCGAAAACTAGAGAAAGATGCAAACCATGCCTCTAAGGCATACAGAAAGTGAAAGCAGTAGTGTGAGGTTTCAGCGTCAAGCAAGGAGTAATGAGGAGCCACCCCGTTGATGGCTAAAGGGAGAGACAAAGAATCTAGGAAGAAAGTAGGAAATTCAAACCTAGAGGGTACAAGGACCTAGGTGATCTACGTGGTCAACCACGGATGCGATTACGTTAAAATAGTTTTGTGCTCGAAGAAGAAGGAGGTTACGCCGCCATCAGTAATCTTGG